ACATGTCTCCGATGAGCCTTTTAAGTACCTCATGATCCATTTCACTGCCTCCCAATGCTGCTTTCCAGGATTGCTCATATATCAGCTTACAACTCCCACTGCATGGGCAATATCTGGTCTAGTACAGACCATGGCATACATCAAGGAGCCGATAGCTGAGGCGTATGGAATCTGGTCCATGTATCCACGTTCTAGCTCAGATTTTGGTGACTGGTCTCTACTGAGCTTGAAATGATTCCCTAGAGGTGTACATACTGGCTTAGCATTATCCATACTAAACCTGCTGAGAACCTTCTTGACATACTCTGCCTGTGAAAGCTTTAGTATGCCTTTGTCTTTGTCTCTGATGATTCTCATGCCAAGTATTTGTTTAGCAGCTCCCAGATCTTTCATTTCAAACTGTTTTGACAACTGTTGCTTTAGCTTGTCAATCTCTTTCATACTGGATCCTGCAATTAACATATCATCCACATATAATAGTAAAATGATATAGGAGTTGTCAAAATGTTTGACATACAACAGTGATCAGTCTGACATTTTGTGTATCCCGTACTACACATGAAGTTATCAAACTTCTTGTACCACTGTCTTGGAGCTTGCTTCAAACCATATAGGCTCTTCTTTAGTTTGCAAACTTGACTCTCCTTTCCTGGTATTGCAAACCCCTCTGGTTGTTGCATGTAAATGTCTTCCTCCAATTCTCCATGAAGAAATGCTGTTTTTACATCTAATTGTTCAAGATGTAAATTTTCTGCAGCTACTATCCCTAGAACAACTCTGATTGTTGTAAGCTTCACAACTGGAGAAAATATCTCAGAATAGTCGATCCCCTTCTTTTGCTGAAACCCTTTTACAACAAGTCTTGCTTTGAACCGTTTGCTTCCGTCATGCTCGGTCTTTACTCTGTAAACCCACTTGTTTTGCAAAGCTTTCTTTCCTTCAGGCAGTTTGGTTAACTCCCAAGTCTTGTTCTTCAACAATGACTCCATCTCGTCTTTCATGGCTAACTCCCACTTGCTCGAGTTTCCATCTTATAAGGATTCTTCATAAGTTAATGGTTCACCACCATCTGTCAGCAAGATATAATTCAGTAGAAGTGTGAACCGTTGTGGAGGCTTTATAGTCCTTGAAGACCTGCGAACAGCTGGTTCACTTGTCTCTGCACTATCTTGTGTAGAAGTGGTGGGTACTGAAGTGCTTGAATTGTCTTGTATGAACTCTTGAGTGATAACATCAGGAAGCCCTTTTAATTGTATGAATTCAGATTTCTGTGGACTCGTATCTGAATCAGTTATCTCTAGTTCTGTACTTGATTTGTTTTTGTACAAAACTTTCTCGTTGAAGATCACGTTCCTGCTTCTGATAATCTTCCTGTTCTGATCATCCCAAAAACAAAATCCAAATTCTTCATCTCCATAGCCAATAAAGAAACATTTCTTTGATTTGGCATCCAGCTTGTTGCGAGCATCAGAGTCTACATGCACATAGGAAACACACCCAAAGACCTTTAGGTGAGAAAGCTGTACTTCTTTTCCTCTCCAGACTTCCTCGGGCAGTCTGAACTCCAAAGGAACTGATGGTCCACGGTTGATCAAGTAAACTGCAGTATGAACTGCATCAGCCCAGAATGTTTGAGGTAACCCAGAATGCAACCTCATGCTTCTAGCTCGTTCATTGATGGTCATGTTCATCCGTTCAGCAATGTCATTCTGTTGTGGTGTGCCTAGAACTGTCTTTTCCATTCTGATACCGTTGACAGCGCAATACTCCTTGAAACCTCCATCAATGTATTCTCCTCCATTATCAGATCGTAAGCATTTCAACTTCAAACCTGATTCAGTCTCAACCATAGCCTTCCATTTCTTGAATGTGTCAAACACATCAGATTTATTTTTCAGAAAGTAGACCCATACCTTCCTGCTGAAGTCATCAATAAAAGTCACATAGTACCAAGAACCTCCAAGAGATGCTACTAGAGCTGGTCCCCATAAATCTGTGTGCACCAGTTCTAGCTTTCTTGGTCTTAAGGTCCTGCCAACCTTTAAGAAACTGAGCTTCTTCTGTTTTCCGAGAACGCAGCTTTCACAAATGTCTAGATTAACATTTTTTAACTCTGGCAGCTTTCCCTTTGACTGAAGTATCTTCATCCCCTTTTGACTCATATGGCCGAGTCTGCAATGCCATAGCTGTGCCTGATTTTCTGCTTCAGTAGAGGTAATTATATCTGCTGATCTTGTGGTCATATACAGGGTGCCGGTTTTCTTTCCACGAGCCAAAACCATTGCTCCCTTTGATACCTTCCACATTCCTCCAGAGAAAAGGATTGAATGGCCACTATCATCAAGTTGTCCGACCGAGATCAACTTCTTCTTTAGTTCAGGAACATGCCTTACATTTTGCAAGTTCCATGTAGATCCATTCATTATCTTCATTTGCACATCTCCTATACCCACAATATCCAATGGTTGTCCATCGGCCAGATAGACTACCCCATAATTTCCAGCAGTGTAATTTTGCATCATTTCATGGTGTGGAGTACAGTGAAATGAAGCTCTAGAATCAAGAACCCAATCATCAATAGGACTATGTACAACAAGGATCAAAGCATCTTGTACCTCGTCTGTAGTGGCGTTTGCAGAATCAACTTCAGGTTTCTTCGGTTTTGTACAACTCCTCATGAAATGACCAGGTTTGCCACAATTCCAACATTCAACCTGCTTCCTAGGTCCAAACTTACTTTTGCTTCTGTACCTGGATTTTGATCAGCCTCTGTCTTGTCTCCTTCCTCGAGTGTTGATGTTGAAAGCTGAACCTGAACTTGAGCTTTCACCCGAGTCTTTTCTTCGTACTTCTTCAGCTAAAATCAGGTCTCGGATATCATCATACTTTAATTTGGATTTTCCAGCTGAGTTGCTTACGGCTGTTCTCATACCTTCCCAACTGCTTGGAAGTGAAGCTAGCAAAATAAGTGCTCGGATCTCATCATCAAACTCAATTTCAACGGATGACAATTGATTTGTGATGGTGTTGAAATTATTAAGATGCTGTGTAACAGAGGTGCTTTCTGTCATCTTCAGGTTGAACAGCTTCTTCATCAAGTACACTTTATTATTTGCTGATGGCTTCTCATACATCCCAGACAAGGCTTCCATCAATCTTGCTATGAATTTCTCTTTTGTAACATTATGAGCAACTCTTCTTGACAATGATAGCTGGATAATGCCCAAGACTTGTCTATCAAGTATTTGCCAATCTTCTTCTGACATGTTTTCTGGCTTGCTCCCCAACAGAGGAAGATGAAGTTTCTTCCCATATAGATAATCTTCAATTTGCATTTTCCAATATCCAAAATCAGTTCCATCAAATTTTTCAATTCCTACAGCCTTTATTTCATCAGCCATTTTTACTCTTTCTCGGATTTGAATCTCAAAAATCTGACCTTACAGATGTGTCCGGAATGGCCAAAAATGCTGGAAACGACACTAAGATCACCCAAATCGGACTTCGGATGGCTCCGATTTAAACAATCAAAAAATTGAGATAACTGGACGCTGCAGATGAAGCCACGTGGCAGGAGGAATAGTCGCTGCGCCACACCAGATCAAAACCCAGTTGTGCTGATGTGGCTAGATGACGTGTCAGACACGTAGGCAATGTGGGGTCCACCCAATCTGACGTGGCAGATTCACAGAGATTTTCGTCTGACGAGGCAGTGGTGACGTGTCTGTTGACCGTGTCGAACGGCTGATGTGGCAGGTGACTTTTGGCTGCTGACTATGTCGAACGGCTGACGTGGCAGAGTCGGGTTGCAGGAAACGGCGAGGAAGACGCGTGAAGCGCGTACGGCGCGTCTGTGCGCGTGGACAGTACTGGTGGTGGCGCGTGCGGGCATGCAGGACGTCGGATTTTTGCTGGGTTTTCACCAGTGGATTCCTCTCGTCGTCCTCTTCACAGTGGTATGTTCAAAAACACGTTTTGAGAACTTTGATTTTTGAGTTTGGATCAAACACCCTTTTTTTCAAGAACTTTCAAGAACAAGCTCTGATACCAGTTGTTAGGAGATTCAAACATTCAAACACACACAAATTTACGTGGTTCGGCAACTTGCCTACTCCACGGAGCTACTGGTTTGTATTAATCAAGCTCAAAAGCAATACAAACAACAAAACAAGGAGGAGGAGAAAATTTCTCTACTCAACTCAATTCTCACCCTTAGCTCTCTCTCTGTGTTTCTCTCTATTTCATGGTGATCATCAGCTATCAATGACACTCTCTATTTATAGCTGATGTGGGAGACAAGCTTCTTTAGTCAACAATGGTGGGCAACAATTTTTTTGGTTAGGCACCCACCATGCAACCACCATTGACTTTAGCCATGTCTAACATGGCTGCCACCAACCATGTTGTGTCCACACCCAACACGGAGTTGCTATGGCTAGGGGTGTAACACTTCTGACACCGGTCAACCGGTTTAAGTTTTATTGGCAAACGGTTGGAGTTCGCTGCTGTTGCTGGTGCAGAGCCTTCGTGGAGTAATGAAGGCTAGGAGAGAAGAAGTGGTGGCTGTGACGGTTCCTCCCAGGGTCTCTGATTGTTGTTTTTGGCTGGAATAGGATGCTGGTGGTGATCTCGTGTGGCGTACTAGGTGCTGTAGGGGAGGAGACATGGTATTTTTGGCTGGAAAAGGGGTGCTTGGTATTTTTTATTTTTTTTTTATGATTTTTTACGGCTGGGACAAGGGAATTTCCTCTGGTTTTGGTTGGATTGAGTGTTTTTGGGCTGAAGGATTTGCGAACGCGGTGTGTGGGAGTGGGTTTTTCAGTTGCTTTTATTTATAGGAGGTCGGGACGGTGCATTCGCTCTCTTCCATTTTTGTTGAATTCGGCTAATTTGAGTTGATTATCTAAGAAAAATATAAGAAAAAAAAATATATAAATAATTTTGGGAATCAAAATTAAGTTATGACAAATTATATCATATATCATAAGATAAATATTAAAAATCATAATTGAGACAACTTTTATTTCATAATATATTTTAATTAATGCTAAAATAATTTAGCAGTTTTCATCCCACGAAGGAACGATATGAAATGGGAATTAACGTAAGATCTCGTTTTCTTTTAATTGCGCCACCAAAAGACTCAGTCATGTCAAGATTTTCAAGCTTCAATCCATCAGCAAGTTTCCAGTCAAAATGGTACAACATCTGCGCAAGTGGAAACTCAGTGTTGGCTATAGCAAACAACATGCCTGGACACATCCTCTTTCCAGCACCAAATGGGATGAATTCGAAGTCGCTACCCTTAAAATCAGTCGAAACATTGATGAATCTCTCTGGATTGAATCTCTCAGGTTCATTCCAATAATTTGGATCTCTTCCAATTGCCCATGCATTAATCAATACTTTACTTTTGACGTGGATGTCGTATCCATTAACATTACATCTCTTCCTACACTCTCTTGGAATCAATGGTATAGAAGGATGTAATCTTAGAGTTTCCTTGATAATCAACTTCAAGAATTTTAAATCATGAAGGCTTGTTTCGTCAGGAATAGTTCCAAGATCATTGAAGACTTGTCTCACTTCTTTTTGTGCCTTTTCCATTACTCTCGGGTTCTTTATCAATTCTGACATTGCCCATTCTAAAGCTGTTGACGAAGTGTCACCTCCACCACTGAACATTTCCTGAAAGGTAATTAAGTAAAGAATGACATATTAGATAGGATTGAGTTCACTTCCAGTTAGGAGGAGTAACATGATGTAAGCAAAAATAGAGTATAGACCACTGGTTTACATTTATATATATATATATGATTATGATTTCATTTCATCAAGTTCGTGGATGGTTATATTTTTCTTATAGAAAAATTGATTAATTAGTGCGTGTAACAAAGCGAAAATATATACTAACCAGGATGATTGCTTTGATAGTGCTTGTTGTTAATTGGAATTCAAGGTTTCCATGGTCTTGAAGATTCAAAAGAACACCAAGAAGATCATCCTCTTCGCTCTTGCCCATCTTTGACGCTAAAGCGGAGTTGGCTCTACGCTCGGAGATGATGCTTTCAAGTATCTCATCTGCTTCTCTGTGCATCCTTTCGAGTCTACACCTTACCGGACTGACCATGTAAAGAAATTTGGAGGAAGGGAATATATCTATCATATTCAAACCTCCAAGTGCCTCCGCCAATTCCTCAACAATTGGTAAGAAAGCTTCTTGGTTTTTGCATTTCTTACCAATGCTTGTTCTCGCAGTGATGCCATTTTCTAAAGAAAATATCATCCTACTAAGGTTGATTGGAGACCCCTCTTTTGAATAAATGGAAGTAATAAAATTAGATACCTCTTCTTCCCTAATAGATTTGAATGATCGTACACGTTTTGCAGAAAGAAGCTCTAATATGGAAATTTTTCTTAGTTGTCTCCAATATTCGCCATACGGTGCAAATGCAATGTCTTTACGGTTGTAGAACAGGACGCTTGCAGCTAGGAGATGAGGTCTTTCAACTAAATAGTAATTTCCAACGAACATTAACTGAATACAGCTCCAACGATGTAATTTAATATAATTAATCTTTTCATTTAATATAACAATTTTTTAGTTTTGTTGTTCAAACTTTATAAACCAACTAAAGCCAAAGTAATAGATGATATCAAAAGTACTTAAGGTACACAATCCAGATTAACATTTCTATTTGTTTCTTCTATTATATATGGACGCAACATGCACCTATAAAGTTGAACTGAATTTTTCTAATTGTTTTTTTTCTAATTATATTTTTTTTAATATTAAACTAGTTAAAAAATAAAATTTATATTTTTTATTTTTTATTTTATATAAAATTATTATAATTTTAAATAAATATATTTTTTAGGGTTGATATTTGGTTTTATAAATATTTAATTTTATCATAAAATTAAATAAAAATAATTTATAAAAAAACAAATTTATTAAACTCATTAAAATTTATGATTCAGGTTTTAAGCTAATTAAGATTGATTATTGTTATAAAATATTTCTAAAATTATATTATATTTTTATTAATTATTTAAATTATCTTAATACTTATTAAATTAATCACGTAATCTGACCCACCGCAGAAAAATATACTAGTGCGTGTGAGAGAGAGAGAAGTCAGTATTTTTCTCTTTCATTTGTTTCATTTGTCTCATACGGAAAACTCAACTCTTTTGTCATCAGAGGACTTATTATCATTTATGCAAAGAAAACTCAACTCTTTTGTCCTAATACTGAATTATTGATTAAAGACTTCTTACCAGCTATGCAAAGACAAGATCAACTCTTTTTGTCCTAATACTGAATTGTTGACATGGGCGTTGGCACGTGGTAAAGTTGGATAGTCGAAGAGTGAATGTGTGTGTGCGTGTGTTTTTCCCGAACAACGCTGTTCGGGAAAAACACAGGTCGTTTTTGCTGCTAGCCATCTTCAACGTTGTTCCTTACTGAAATATATTTATTTATTATTTTGATTGCATTCTTTGAAACACTTTCACTTCCGGCCATCCATCCCCATTCTCTTTCCTTGAATGCTTGTCACTGTCCTACAAGTTGGACGGGACTGATAAGGACGGTAACAAAGCAGGTCCATCGGGGCCTGCTTGCCGTTCTAAAGTTAGTTGTATTATCCATGGCTTTTTCCTCACAATAATTTTATCTGGGCCCTGCGGCGATCGGTTTGACAGCCGACTCAAGGTAGTTGCATGTTCATGTGAGGTCACTAGCCTTAAACTCTTAGTACGATGCATACCCACTCCTTTTATAGATTTTTCCATGAAACTATTTGGGATGTTATAATCACTCTCAAAATCTAGTGATGGTGTTAAAAAAGATAAAAATAAGAAATAAAATCAACGGTATAAAAAACAAAAACAAAAACGTATGATATAAATTCATCGAGTAATTTTATGCCATGTGAGAAATAAAAAATCATGTATTTTATTTTAAAATATTAAATTTCAATTTAAGAAATTATAAGATATATTATATTAATCTACTATTTTGATCCATATAAACCCTCCCTTAAAGTGCTTTTTGGATAGATTAACGTTGTAATCAACTTCTTCGAAATATATCCTTCACCCAAAATACAAATGGACAGCTTTAGCTAGTGAGTTTGCTCTCTTTTTTAATTTTCTGAATTCAATACTCAATATATGAAAATCGTATTTCTTAGATCATTTAAGTAAAAATAATATTTTTGATTAATGCATAATTATATGTGTACAATCAAATAAAAAGAATTAAAATACAAGGATGATTTTGCTCTAACTTCCTCACCTGTTTTTCTTTTTGTTCTTTAAACTTAAATTTATGATTTTAAATAGGTTAAAGAATCGTCTAACTTAAAATTTTAAATTATTAAATAAGATATCAAAAATAAAATACCTAAATAAAATACCTGAATAAAAGATGCAAACACTAGATCTCTTGTTCCTGTCACCAAAATATCCCCTTTCTGGGCGCTCTTCCAAACCGGTGTAGAAATGGGTGCTTTCCCTAGTATTGATGATTTCTTTTATCCTTGAAAAATCAACTTTCATTTTTCGAAATGTGGTTTCATGATTGACGACTCAGTACCAATTATAAAAGAAAAATATAAATATTTATTTTTTATTAAATGGTATCAAAATAAAATTATATTTTAAATTTTTTTTTCATGAAATGAAAAGGCTCATAAATTATAAATACATCATGAGATCTTTAAAATAAAATTTTATAACTTTTATTCTCTAATGAATATATATTTTCAAAATATTTATCTTTAGAATATTATTATATTTTTTTATAAAAATATTTATTTAAGTATTAAAAAATATTCATCTATGCTAAAAAGAATTTTTTATAGGTATTAATTATAAGCCTTATTAACTTACCAAGCACTAAATATAAGTTATCAATTTAATAAAATTGATAAAATTAATTGATTAACTAATTATTCAACTCACTTAGATTTTCAAGACATCAACATCATCAAAATCATAAACATGTGTGCGGTGTGTCATGGGTGAAATATTAAAAATATAATAAAAATACAATATATAAAAAACATATAATTAATTGTTGGTGGAACATAGTTAATCATAATGTATTTTTTTAAGAAATGTTTTTTATTTTTAATTTAATTCTTGCATGTTAAGTTTACTTGAGATTTATTTTGATGTTTCATTTTGGTTAATTTTTTTTAAAAATCATTTTAACTCAATAGATTAAGCTATTAGGTGAGGTCCAAAGATATGATTTATATTATTTTCTAACATATCTATTCAAGTGAAAATTCTTTAAATTTAAAATTTAAATAAGTTCACAGTACCTTGTGCTTAATTTTTATCACATAAATAGAGATGGTGAGATTCAAATTTCTGACTGTTTGAGATTAAGGCTCCGATACTATGTAAAAAAAACCAATTCAATAAAAAATTTTAAATTATTAGATAAGATCTCAAGATATAATTTATATTATTCTCTAATAAACTTTATATAAAGCTCTCGTCATGTTAAGAACAGGTTTTAACATTGAGTTAATTCTTGATTGGTTAAAAAAATATTATTAATTCAAACTAATTAAAATATTAGAAACTAAAATAAATATTCAATATCTTTTTTATTCTAAACAGAAAAATCTTTATTTTAGATGTTTAATTTTATATATAGTTAAAATCAACAAATTCTTCATTATTTATTGATGCATAAAATTTAAATTTATTGTATTTAATACATGTATAAATTTTTTAATTTGCAATTAATTTTTTTAATAGTAAAAAAAAACGTTAACAATATTACTATTTTTTTATATTAAAAAAAAAATTATTCATCATGCAAGATAGCGTCGATAATAAAACTAGTGTATATGAAGAAAATCCAGGAAAAAAACGTGATGGAGAACGAGAAAAAGGGGCATCGAAGAAGTCTACTTCTTTTGTTTCATTTGTCTCATCAGGAAAACTCAATTCTTGAGTCCCAATACTGACTTCTTTGTCGAGGACTTTTCAGCGATTACTCCGAGAAAAATATCTCTTTCGCCCTCATACCGAATTCTTCGTTAAGGACTGATTACCCATTAGGCAAGAAAAAATATCACAGTATTTGGTAAAGAAGTGGGCATGAATCTTATTCCTTTCAAACGGCACATTTATTTCTTTGTTTTGACTTGTGACCACTATAGGAAATCGGAATTTAAAAGAGGGTGTTTGAAATACTGGTAAATATTATTTTTTTAAAATGTTTTTTTAATTATTAAAATAATATTTTTTTATTTTTTAAAATTTAATTTTAATATTACTATATCTAAATAACTTTAAAAAATATATTAATTTTTGAAAAGTCCTAAAAATCACTTAAGTCACCTACATGTGCCAATGAAAATATATTTTTATTAACTTGTTAATTCTTGAGTTTGTTTTCATGAGGTTATAAATTTAAATATCATAAATTTTATAGTTATTACAGATTTATCTGATTATTAATTTAAAACTTTAAAAAATTAGTTAAAATATACATCAACTAATTTATATATCTATATCTATAGTTAAAAAAAAAAAACCCTTTTTGTCCTAAATTAAGTTAATGACTCAAAAGCCTGTGTCTTAATTAGCCGATATGGCTAGTAGCTTTATCAACAAAATTTATGTATCATGGATATGCGCATATTTATTTTAAAAAATAAATATACGTAGCTTGAGCAAAATCTATATAGAAAATGAAAGAATGACATGCTCATATTTCAAATCTAAATGGGATTATTAGTCCAAATGAATTACGATAACTCAATTTAAAATAATATGGGTAGAGTTAGAATAATAACATACCAATAAAGCTGTAGAAGTTAATTTATGACTTATAAAATTCTTAGAACTAGTTTTACCACGTATAAATAAAGAAATGTTACTAAATTAGTTGTTAACTAGCCAGTTGATGCAACCTCACACTTATAAAAATATGCATATAAAAAGGTGACTTTTTGAATAATGTAGTTACCATTTTCATTTTAAAAAAACGACTCCTTTTAATTAATATATTCAGATATATTTCTTTATATATGATCCTAGCCATATGCACTTGAATGCTCTTTTGTGCTAGAAATAGCAATTTACTGTCTGCTGTAAGGATCGAGCATATGTAAGCCTTCACCAAAACTGTCTTGGTTTCTATTAGAGTAAATTCTCACTCTTTCTCTTACGTAAACATAGTCAAATGTTGTAAGATCGTTGTGTATTTATTTATTACGATATTTTTTTTATATCTGCTTGTGTTATCCTCGCCATAGATTATATAAAGTGGTTATTACAATGAATGATAAAAATTCAGAGGTTTCCCAAATATCCATGGAAATTTTTTGATCTCAGATAATTTTGTAATGGATATGGGAAGGAATGGCATTCAGTCAAAATCACACAAAACAGAAATTCCGGGCTCTAAAGAGCCATACAAAGAGATAGATCGAAGTGACACGTACGCAACACAAAGACAACTTGCATTTTCTTATCCTTGTCTATTGTACAATTCATTGTGAA